GCTGTACCGATGGCTAGTTTAGCTTTTAGCTTGAGCCACATTGAGACGCCAGCTGGTCAACCTGTTAGCCAACTTTGCCGCGTTTTGCTAATGTGAAAAAATACTGACAGTAAGCGAGCTTGTCAGAGTTAACTTTTACCATATATTTTGTTAGTTTGACATATCAGCGGTATGCCTCGGTGTTTGAGACGTTTTACACGTGTAAGAGGTTGCTAGTGTGTGCTAACAAATATTAGCACTGCTAACTTGCCTTGTACGTAGCGACGGCAAACACTAACTCGACACGGAAGAGGAGCTGAGGGTATTTAATGAAAAATAAACCACATGTCAACACACAAGTGCACTGTTATAGACCATGGTTAATAGCAAATAAACGCGAGTTGACGATCAAATGAGCTCTCTCTGTAGATAATGACGCACCAATGGCTGGTTATTATCCGTGTGGAATTATCCACACGTGCGCAGAACTCGTGCCCAGGGAACGGAATAAAATTGTTCACCGCAGGCTAATAGTAGAACTACTTTGTTAAATGATTTATGTCTTAATACAAACAGAATTCAAACTCCACGCGAACACACGACACTGGGGAATAACCATGTTCTGTGAGGGCTGATTAAAACAGTTGACTAGACTGAGTTTCCATTCATTCTCGAGGTTTTTTTCTTTTATAAAACACGAACGCTTCTTCTCATAAAATTAAGCCTCACATTTTAAATACCAAGAACAATAGAACTCAGGCGTAAGTTAAGGAAAGGTTTCACGTGAAGAAATGATTGCATGTAAACAATAACTAAACTTTGAATGGGCAAACAAGAAATACATCACATTTATGGGTTTAAAACAACTTTTATTTCGAGTATCCATGTCGCTACGTGTAAATTAGGACCGGAACGAATTAAAAACCCATTAATTTTGATTAGATGACTTCAGACGAAACATGCAAATTAACAGTTAACGCACACACTCCAGGCCAGCAGTTGGCGATAATGTGCCACATGTATTACCGTAGAACTTCAGACCTATCGCATCAGTGCTCAATGCAGTACACGTTGCTGCGAGCCCAGTTGGTAGGGTTATCAGAAATGTCTTAAAATTGTGAATATGATATCTGTAATTGGGAGCCTGCACTCATCTGTAAATGTACTACATTTAGTGTTGGAAACCGATTAGAATTTACAATTTTGTTGGTTAAGTTCATTTGTATGTCTGTTGATTAATTCATTTGTCAACCAAAATAAGTTTGAATTGAAAATAATGTTACTGTTTCATAAAAAGAGAATTATTAATAATTTAATTATTAATTACTGAATTACAAGACCTGGTTCAAAAATGCATTAATATTTAATCTCTGTGGGATAAATACCTGACCAGAGATTGTCCCAATTTAAGGGCAGTAGTTTTACCTGGGCAAATATTTCAAAGGCACCTGAGGGACACAGGCATTTGGGTGTGTCTCAGAGTTTTCTTTTGTGTTTTTCTGATGGTGTGTTGAACATTCATGCTAAAAAGAATCTGGACCACAGGGTGTGTGGGTAATAGCTGCTGCCTATCTGACAGGGGTCCCCAACAGTTCTATTAAATCTCTAAAGTATGTCACCTACTGATGAAGGATACTGCAATCAGAGCTTTGAGTTTAAATCCCTAAAAGCTTATATTGAATTTTCAGCTACTGGTCTGGGACCTGTTTAGACTGGTGGTATTGGTTTAAACCAGAAGTAGTCATATGACTCACAGGGACAACGAGACTGACTGCATTACAACACCAGTGAAATTAAGGCATCCTTTAGAGAAAGGAGCTCAACAGCATGAACTACTCCTATCACCACCAACAGGGGTTCAGTGCCATAAAGGACAGTCTAATTCTAACATAAGTGCACTGTTATTCACCTGTTCAGTGCCATAAAGGACAGTCTAATTTATTAAGTGCACTGTTATTCACCCTTTCCCTTTCACCCTCCAGAAACCAGATGGGTGTTTTGTAGAAGTCCAGGTGCTCCGTGTTGGAGTGCTGCAACTGATGATTTGAAGGTGAGTCTTTTTTTCTGTGTGTAGCGCTGATGGTGTAATGTATTTATCTGAAGTTGTGCTTTTATGGATTTGATCCTTTGTGTGTATAAAAGAACCCCAGGGAGGCACCAGGAGAAATGGTTTTGTGTCACTGAGAAAACATGTTTGCACAGAGGATTCCCACGAGGGTCTCTGTGGCTGGCACGGCGGTAATTGCAGGGCAGGAGCAGTCGTTTTTCATTTTGATAGTTTTGATTTTCTGTCCCTTGATTTACATGTGCAATAAAGCAAGTATTTTTGTTTTTTTTATTATATCTTTTATTGAAGAACTTGACCTTAGTTTGTTTCTTTTTTCCCCTTTTTTTCTGAAATGTCTCACTTGGGCAGGTTTCCCACCTCCTCAGTTTCACCTTCCTGAGCCCAACAAAAATAAACATGACTGTGGCCAATGCAAAGTCTGGCTCAGGTAAGTTGCTGTGGGGAGTGGGGTGGGGATGGGATGGGGTGAGTCTTAGCACAATTTCTAACCAGTTAATTGCTGCTGTGTGGTGTGTAAAACCTTTTTTCATGGTCGACTGCCCAGAAATATTTGTGTGGGTGTGTTTACTGTTGCTTGTGAAAGTTCATGTTTATATCAATATGAAATTTAGAAATTGCATATCTTTTTTTTTTTTTAACACATTACAGCTGGTGGTTTGCAAAAATCATGAGGCTAAATTCTGTAGGTTGTGGGCTGCATTGATTTACCAGCCTTTATGCAGTTTCTTCTTGTCTGAGCTCAGCCTCCACAGTCAGTCTTAGTAGTAGAACAATTCCTTTGTGACTCAGTTTGCTTGTTGCTGCTGCAATGGAAATGAGGGATTCTCTGTGAATCGGCTCATTGAGTGTCTGTCCACAGCTTTCTCTTTAATTGTTGGCCATTATTTGAACAGTTTCTCTCTTTTTTCTTTTTCTTCCTATATGTTTAGAACTTTATTTTCAGTTTCATTTCAGACTTTTTTGGGGGGGATTATCACCTGCTGAAATAACAGCATCTTCAGCTAAAGTTATGGACGTCTTTTTTCCCCAGCAATGCAGCAGGTATTGGACAACCTGAAGGAGCTACCAACAGGTACCAAAGACATCGACCTCATCTTCCTGAGGGGCATCATGGAGAGTCCCGTTGTCCGCTCCCTTGCTAAGGTAAGTTATGCCCTCTCTCAAGGCTGGTTCTGTACTGCTGTAGGTCGCACACAAACACTGTTAAAACAGTTTCACTACTGATTTTTTTATTGTCATACAAATGTCTTTTCAACCAATATTACAAACACGTTGGTTACAAGAGTTGGTATTATCAAACGTTAGGGAACTGAAATTTACAGTGTGAGTGTTTGCAACTGACAAAGGCTGCCACAGGAGGCGCTATAGTACTGAGAGGCTTTGTTAATAATTCACAGGAATGAATCACATATTTATCAAACAGCAGTATTTTACAGTTCAAACTAGTTCTGCTTGATGACTTATGACAGCTAAAGCTCTTCATCCGTCTTCTGCATCCACAGATTAGTGCAAACTCCCAGTACAACGACTTCTATTATATTTAACATTTAAAAACTTTCTTTATGTCTCAACCCCATCATCTGGTCTGTAATGGGCTGTCTATCCTGCTTGTTTGTACCAGGACCATTGTAGGTGACATTAGCTCTGTGCTCGCAGCAACATGTTTTAGGCTGAGGTGATATTATTATATTATATGTATATGTGCTGTGGTGATGAGAAAATTTGTTGTTTCACAATTTACACGAAACCATTCTTTTATCCTAGCTGTGAGCACAAAAACAACGAAAAAAAACAAACAACAACTCCACCCAACAAAACCAAGCAAAGTGGCCAGGGCTAAATTGATGACTGCCACCTCCATGGCTGCAGTGTGTGCATCAGTCTTACTGGTGTGTTGTCCATTAGGAAACGGGGAATGGTGGGATTAGACACATTATTTTTCTTAATCAGTTGAAATGGTACATGTACAGATTAACCAAATTTGCAGACAGCCCATTGAAATGCACTGTTGTGTAGGAGAAAAGATTGAGGTCATGGTATTACACTGTGTATATAAATAGAACAATGTCTTTAGAGGACATGTCACACAGGCGTCTCTTGTCCTCCTTTCCTACGCTGCGGCTGCTGCTCCTTCTTCCAAGCTGGATATTTTCCTGCTCGATGAGCACATTTGTTGCTCGTGCTGTATTGTCATGCAAAACAGAGCTCCTTCAGTGAGGGCATAAATGGTGTTTTCCACTGTAATTATACGATTGTAATGAAATGGAGTATGACATACACATTTCTTTATATATTTTCTTTTATTTATTAAGAATTCACTAAGATCATTTTTATGTTAAAATCCATATTAAATTAAAGTCTTTTGTGTGTCTTTGTTTGTTTGTGTGTGTTTTTTGTGTAGGCCCATGAACGTCTTGAAGAAGTGACGTTAAAGGCGGTACAGGACGACAATGTCCAGCTGGTCACAGAGATCCTGGATTCTCTCAACGACCGGACAGAAAATGATGCCGCTGCTGCAGAGCTTGCTAAAATTCTCCAAGAGCCTCATTTTAAGGTACTTTTTGATATTTTTGCCATGCTGCTGTCACACCCCTTCATCATTGCCTGCTCTTGAGTTGAGGCGTAATCAAACGATGTGTTGTACATCTCTGGGATCTGGAAGTTCTTTACGTCAACCCTCGCCTAGTTTACTTTGCAGCTTCGCTTCTTTGTCACTATTCCTATTTTCCACCACTTGCAAGTGCAGCATAGGAGGGTGGGGGGAGTATTTCCTCAGGCCAATAGCAGACTGAGTTTTGTGGGTAAAGCGAGGGGGAGAAAAGTGTGTCACCTACTGTTTCAGTAAATCTTCACATTTGCTAATGCAGTTTGTTGTCTCTGACCACTGCACTTTACTCTGTGGCTGCTCTGGTAAGAACAAGAGAGTTTATTCTCTTTTATTAAACACTTGGCCAACGATCAGTTTATCAGATTAAACTATTGTGTTGATTTGACATCTTTTTACTTAATGTAGATAATCTGTGTTTCTATGCCTATCAATGTTTGTTGTTTTTATATCTCTCATCTGGTTTTATATCTCTAAACATTGTTTTTTGAATAATGAAAGTATCCAAAATGTTTATGTTCCAATGTCTTCTCTGTCTCCGTCTCAGTCTCTGATAGAGGCTCATGACCAAGTGGCTGCAAAGTGCTACGAGATGCCTCAACACTCCCTGGACAGCAATACCTTGGTGACTAGTTCACCGTTGCCAATTGATGCTATCAGGATGATTGGGATCCAAAAGAAGGCTGGAGAACCACTGGTGAGTTTGTCAGACATTTTTGTGGACCACTGCACTGCTGATGAAACATGTAATGTTTCTGCTCTGCTAAAGATGTCATATGTTATGTTTTATGTACAGTATCTCCGTAAACATGATGCACGCAAGTGTTACGAGGTGCAGATGTAATTTACTGCGTGACTGCTCATCTCCTTCAGGGGGTGACTTTCCGTGTGGAGCGGGGGGAGATGGTGATCGCACGGATCCTGCACGGCAGTTCGATTGACAGGCAGGGCATGCTGCACACTGGGGACATAATTCGCGAGGTGAACGGTCACGAGGTCGGCAGCAACCCCCACGAACTCCAGGAGCTGCTGAGAGACTGCAGTGGGAGCATCACGCTCAAAGTGGTGCCCAGTTACAGAGAGACACCAGCACCACCTCAGGTGAGGGAGAGAGAGAGATGCTGCAGATTCATCCTCTAATCTGTGGGGACATAATGATCCAGTAAAATCAGCGTCCGTAGAGCAGTGATACCTGTTAGAGACCTGTGAGAGCTCCCTGACCTGGCTGCTCCCAGAATGCAAGGCTCCTGAAAATCGATTCCTCAAGGGGTCTATTAATACCCCACATACTATCTGGGTATACACCACCCTATTTTCTGGAACACCCCCCCTTCCTCCTCTTCTTCTTACTGTAACAGGCAGACAGCTGACACTGAGGAGCAGTATTTAGGGTTATGTTAGACACTGACCTTTGTACTGGGGAGGATCAAGTTATCTCATTCTTATGTTTGCATATGTATTTGTATTTGGTTTCATGCTGTGTTAACATGTGCTTGTAATGTTGAAACATGCTAGGCCTGTTCACAGTGATTGGCTGTTTTCTTAAGTTAAATTATCTGACCCAGTAGTTAGGTGTCATTATTCTGACGAGTGAGTAAAAAATAAAATTTTATGACCACAGAAATGCAGTTTAACAGTTTATCAATATATATATTGGAACTTTTAATAAGGGACGCGCATACCAGTCAGATGTCATTTTTGTAATTTGAGTGACATGATTTTTGTTTTTCTGATAACTTTGCTGTTTGTGTTACTACAGGTTTATCTGAAGCCACACTTTAACTACAATCCCAATTCTGACAACCTGATCCCCTGTAAAGAAGCAGGCCTGGCTTTCTCCAAGGGAGAGATTCTCCATGTAGTAAACAAGGAGGACACAAACTGGTGGCAGGTAAGGGGGCAGATGTGGATTTTTGGTGTTAAAGAGGAAGTTGTTAAATATAATCTGTATGGAAAACCTTATAGGCTGAAATGTCCTATTGGTCACAGTCAAGGGTCAGGCTGTAACACTAGTTCTCTCCATTCACATTGTTAAAATAACATAATGAGGGCTATGCCACATGAACTATTCTTACTATTATTTACAGAACACATAGAAAGATGATTCGCTGTACTTATTACCTTCTAATCTCTGCATACTGTCTCTGCATATAAAATACCATTTAGTATTTCTAATCTGTCTCTGACCTTTGAACAGGCATGCAAAGTCAATGGTGGAGCCACCGGTCTCATCCCCAGTCAGTACTTGGAGGAGAAAAGAAAAGCGTTTGTGAGAAAAGACTGGGACACTCAGGGTTCTGGTCAGTACCAGTCATTTTTTTCACTTGTATTTTCCATTGTAGTCAACAATATCTTGGCTGCAGCACAGGCGAGTGGTGACTGTGATGCTGTTTATGTGTCTGTGTGTGACACAGGGATGCTCTGTGGGACTCGAAACTCAAAGAAAAAGAAGAAAAAATTGATGTACCTGACTGCCAAAAACGCTGGTGTGTATTCAGTAGGAACAGCACGTGAGGGTTTCACCTCTGAAGAACACTTGAACTTACCTGTGTTTTAATTTGAGCAGAGTTTGATCGTTATGAGCTGCAGATTTATGAAGAGGTAGCCAAGATGCCGCCGTTCCAGAGGAAAACACTTATCCTGATTGGAGCACAGGGAGTTGGCAGACGGAGCCTGAAAAACAGACTTACCGTCCTGGAGCCTTTAAAATTTGGGACAACTGTTCCTTGTGAGTGTGTGAGTCATCAAGGCAATGGGGTTATCGTGATAGGTTTAACTGTCAGACCACATGTAACGGGTTTATCTTTTAGTCACTTCACGGCGTCCCAGAGAAGAGGAGAATAATGGACAGAATTACTGCTTTGTGACACGTGAAGAAATGGAGAAGGACATCAAGAAGGGCAGATACCTGGAGCACGGCGAGTACGATGGCAACCTTTATGGTACCAAGATTGACTCCATCCACGAAGTGGTGTCTATGGGCCGTACCTGCATCCTGGATGTCAACCCCCAGGTTGATTTAGCAGGCACACGCACACACTCACACATGCTCAGTGCAAAGGTTTAGATCTTCTTTTGACGACATGGTTCTGACTTTAAATTTTATGTTCAGGCCCTGAAAGTTCTGAAGACTGCTGAGTTTATGCCATTTGTGGTGTTTATTGCTGCTCCTGAGCTGGACACGCTGCGAGCTATGCACAAAGCTGTAGTTGATGCTGGACTCACTACTAAACTTTTAACGGTAAGATTTCTTTTTTTACTGCATCTATGTTTTTTTTCCCCCTGTACCTTTTTCTACTGGATTCGTATCTCAGTCCAATATTACGGATCTGGGTGATTATTTAATCTAAAACATTAGAACATTTCTGTAAATAGGTTCATATCTTAGAGGTCTGGTTTGAGTCTTACTCAAAATGTTGCTAAAACTTGCTATTGTTTAAGCCTGTAAAAACCAACCACCAACAGTTAAAATCTTTTATGGCAACAGGAAAACGATCTGAAGAAGACTGTAGATGAAAGTGCCAGGATCCGCCGGGCATACAGTCACTACTTTGACCTGACCATTGTTAATGACAATCTGGACAAAGCCTTCGACAAACTGCAGCAGGCAGTGGAGGTACTATTCACAGAACCGCAGTGGGTACCGGTCAGCTGGGTGTACTGATGAACTACTCCCCCTGCTGGACAGACAAGGCTGTTGGCGCTGCAAGGTCTGCGATTATTAGGGTATGTATTCCCTGTATTGCACACAGACTGAATCCCGTGTAATTTGGGTGTTGCACAAAGCTGCATCAGAGTCACCTTGTTCTAAAAACGCCAGATATAGTCAAACACACTATGCAAATCACAGCACACAGGACGTGTTCTTATTGGGAAATAACTTTTTAAAGAGTTCTACATCTTCAGACAAGAAGATGAGGCTGACTGGGATGTCAGTGTGTTTTGAAGTGAAACATGTTTTGCCATATTCATTTTCAACTAACATCAGTATGAACGATATGTGAAATTTATTTATTATATTAGGAGCAAGAGGGTTTTCTTAATTGAAAAGAATACCTCAGTGTTTCAGTTTACAGTACTCACATCACCAGTGTTTCATCTCAATCATCACTACAAGATTAGAATGGTGTCATCTGCATATTATCTCACAATTTCTGTCTAATTTAACCATATCATGCCACCTACTGTTTATTCCTGTACAGGACGTAGTACATCAGTGTTGACTCAATATTTTCCTTGCACTCAAGTACATAAATTCTGTTGAGTGTCCAAAGCCTAGATCATATGTTTGTTTTTGACTGGAAGAACAGTTAATGGTTGTGTGTCAGTAAGGACTTTTGAGCAGGGTGCTGTAACTCAGTGAACCGTCCCTCTTGATGTGACATTGCTAAAAAAAACTTAACTGTTTTGATTTAATTTCATATTGACTTATAAAGGTATATTTTACAAGATTTCGGGAAAAAGATGTATTTTCATTTGTGAAATAAAAAAAACAAGTGTTTTTTAAACCATCTGATTTCTGTTTTCTCACATTGACATGACACGTTTTTTATAGTAAGGTCATTTTTTGACTTTATTTTTCAATAATATGATAATATTGAATACAAGCGAGGTATTGTAACTAATCGTGATAAATTGAGATAACAGTTAGATGTAAGTTTCACAACTGTTTCTATTTGTGATTAAGACAAATTAATAACTTGACTTTAATAACTTGAATAAATTGATGGATTTCAGTTATTTCTGTGCATCTTACAGGAGTTGTTTGTAAAACTCAGGTGAACTGGCTGTTTGCAAACAGTGATGCATTTATGACTATCTATGTAAAAGAGACTATCAGTGGATGGATGGTGAAAATACTGGTCATACAGTTGACCTCATTGTGCTCATGAGTCACAATGTTGAACATTTAAATGATTAATTCCACAAATTTATACATGCATTTATTTAGGCAGTCCTTAAAATAATATTTGAAATTTATACATGCATTTATTTAGGCAGCCCTTAAAATAATGGACCCTTTATATTGATTCTGATTGGCTTCAGGGTTACTATTTCAAAAGACACAGTGATAAGCTTTACCAAAAAATGTGATCCAAATCTATGCAAAAATATACATATAATTATAACACCCTTAAAAAAAAGAATTGTTTGGGTGTTTCCCATCCAGTAAAGTCATCTCAAATATTTCCTAAAAAAAATCAGTTTAAAGTTTAAAAAAACACTGACCCTCTTCACATTGGCACAGTAGAGTCTGAAGTAGTTGTTGGTTATTAAAGCATCTTCTCTTCAGCCTCAGCAGACGGACAAAGAAGCCAGAGCCCTGACAGCGATACACAGGAGCAGAGGAGCGTGTCCTGCTTCTGGGTTTATTTCCGTCATCACAGTGTCCCCGTCCTTTCTCAGAGACACGTTAGAGGAGGCAAACAGATGAACGACCTTTTCAAAGACGTCCTCTGTCAGTGGAGTCTGGTCTTTGCTGCTCAGCAGCAGCTCTCCTTTACCTGATACACAGGACACCTGCGAAAAGATGTGAGACATCCGAACCGTGAGGTCACTGAGATCCATCACGTTGTTGCCTTTCAAATTTTTTTTTGTGGTAACCTACTAGTTGATCCATTGTCTGTAGCTCTGCTTGGCTGCAGCACACTCCCAAAATGGCAAGGCAGTCATTTGTCATCTCTGAAAATCCAACAACCACCAAAACAGGGTATTAGGTTTTGAGGCCACCTTGTGAACAATGACTTTTCAAACGCAACATCAGTTTGAAAAGTCGGCTAAAGTTAAAGGCTGTGCAGTGCGTGGCTTCTCTCACCATCCAATGAGCTGATAATGAGGTGTATGGCTGTAAGGACTGATGTGGACTCAACAGTTGGAACTGACCCCTCCTTATCACACTGTTTCACAAGGTCCAGGATGGCTTGGATTTTCTGTTTCGGAGGCTCTGTTGCGCTGATGTCATCCAGGGCAGAACTGCTCTGGTCCAGACAGACATGGTCCAACTGACACGGCAGGGAGACATTTTTAAAAAACGGTGTAATTAGAAATTGATTAGATGTGTTCATATAAATATTTTCCAACACTATGTTAAAATGTCTTGGACAAATTAAATAGAAAATGTCAATGTTGTTTCTCCATGTATCAGTAGTTACCACAGTCTGGAGTTCTCTGACAGCTGCTGGGTCCTGGATAATTGGTGCAAGTTGTTGAAAGAGGCGTGATTTTGTGGTGACAGGAAGAGATGAAAGCAGATGAAAATATTCATGATGAATTTGGAGGTCTGTGGAGGAAAGAAATCAATGGAACCATTATAATATGTAAAATATGTATGACATATTATACATATATACAGTACATATATACAGTATATATGTATATATGTAAAGTTATATATGCATATATATAGATATTTATTTTATTTAAGCTGCAATTTACCCTCTTGTAGTTTACTGTTAGCATGAGCATGTGGCGATGCCCCTGTAACTCCCAGCAGCCCCCTCTTCACAGGACCGTCAACTTCAAAACCTCCAGTGGTGTCTGACATTAGACATAACTCTGCCAAGAAAGACCAACAAACTAAAGGTGAGCACACGACAACATTATTTTAACATTTTCTTGTCTTTTCTGATCACTAATCACTAATCCATAATATAATTGAAAGAATTCCTCACCAAAGCATCCATCGTATTTGATCTCCAGCTCTATGAGGCCGTAGGCCACAGCAGTGTGTGAGGGAATCTCCATGGTCACGTTACTGTCTTTGCTCAGGCTTGTGTTCTCTTTTAAAGAAATCTACAGGAACAAAGATCCAAGACATGTTCAAGGTTCACTGGTGTCTGTTGTAAATGCTGAAAGTTTTAATTAATCTGAATTTCATTTCTCTATCTCATGACATCCCACCTTAGTGGTCCGGGGACAGCTGAAGCTCAATCCTGCCCCACACTGTCCGGCTTGCTGCACCTCCTCTATGACAGAGCAGGGTGTGGTGGTCATGATCCGTTCCTTCACAATTCCCAAAACCTGTCGTTTCTTCTCTTTCGTCTGCTGGATCAAACTGTGGGACATGTCCAGGACTCTGCGATGGTAAATTACAACATCATCAGTGTTGAATTTGATTTTTAGTTTTATTTACTTCAGTAAAGAGCAACATTGCTGACTAGAGAATGACATTTAAGTTTGTACCTTTGAAACGTTTAAAAATACTGATAAGATGACATTTAGCTAATGTTACTTATCCCTCAATCTTAATTATAAAGCCAAGCCTACAGAATAATTATTTGTAATTTGTATTACTATTTATTTGTAGTAAATAAAAAGTGGTAGGACGAATTAAGTGAAATTGGGTTATTTTCCACAAAACATTCATAGTTATAATCATTACTTTGATCATTTTTTCTGCAGCATTTTTAACAACACGAAAACAAAGGAAAGACATAAACAAAAACAGCATATGACCAGTGTTAACACTCAACTGAACTCTATGTTTACAACTAGACAAAGGTCACTCCTGCTGTTTGCATGTCCTTAAAGGAGATAAGATTTATTTCTAATGTTTTTTTGTTTTTTTTACACCTAATCTAGGAAACAAGGAACTGACTCCAGGTGGGAACATACAAACCTGCTTTTAGATTCATGTAGTAACTTCTGAACGTGTACTTCTTCTTTTTTCAAACTTCCAAAGTAGGACTGCAGCTTCAGAGAGTCTTTACCCTTCAGGCTCACGTTGGAGTGGAGGAGCTCTGCATCCACCCCGCTGTGAATGTTGTCACCATAGGTTCCATTGAATTTGATGAAGTCTGTCTCTGTTATGACTATGGACGATGAAGCAAGCACTCTATGGCATCAGAGTTACACACGACACAGCATGTGGACTTGGACAAAGGGCTGTGATGATTACCTGGTTCTATGGGCGTGTCTCCTGTAAGTATATCGTTGAGGGTAAAATCTGTGGGCAGATGCCTGGGCTTCTGCCAGAACCAGAAACGCTTGCGTTTCACCACCAACGTCAGTATATCGATGACGTCATTCAGGCTGGACACAGGGATAAGTAACCCTCCATGGTCCACCTCCTCCACCAAGTTTCTAGTAGCCGTGGCAAACATCTCCTCGCTGTAAAATAATGAATAATGTAGGTGACCACTGAGAAAAAGAGAAAAAAGGGTGTTCGTATGAACTGTATGATGATTGATGGAAATAATTGGTATTTAACAAAACATTTTCCCATGCTAATTATGTTTGGCAAGAACTCTGCCACTGGTTTTTGAAAGTCACTTAACTTTCACTTTCAAAACTTTCAATCCCTAGCACAATGACGATTAAGTCTAGACACTAAATGTTCGGACACGGTTTTAAGCACATGAATGTTAACATGTTCTGGTTTCTCTGCGTCTCTGTATCAGAAGTGACTGTATCTCTGGTTTTCGGACAAAACAGAACAATCTTTCTACACGAATAATGTAGGAGACAGCGATCTACGAGTAAGTACTGTTATCTATCATTTCGGGGTCCAAATGAGAAATCGATTGATCGCTAAAATAGCACTCGTGGATCAGCTTCTGTTTGAAAAACGCTCACTGCACGATCCAGCAGTACATACACAGTGAAACAGCGGCTACAATGCTATTAGCATCTGTACATTTAGCAACTACATCTCTTAGAGAATGTGGAGATTGCATTTGGTAAAAAAAAAACCGTGTTACCGCATTACGTTAGTGGTGAACCAGAAAAGACGAAGAAAAACAGCCAACACAAACAAAGTTCTGTTTCAGCTTGATCATCTGTCCAATGTTTTCTGGACAAAAGACACTGCGGTGAAGTTGGGTTAGCGTTGGTAACGCGGATATTTAGGAACCGTCAACAACTTCACATTTGAAATGAAAAGGAAATGTATTTTAAATTACAAATTGTACTATTTCTAACCCAGTTTATCCCACGCATAAAACAACCAAACCTGGGTCTATAAGGATAAATCATGAAATGCGTTGAATGTGTTGGTGCACATTTATGTTTTCTCCAATACTCTGCAATTAATAGTTATTCTGTTTCTGTCAGCGTTACAGCTTGTCCAGCGGTACTCTTTGAAATGCACTTTGTGTCTGTACATGTATATACATATGTGTCTATAGGTTTGTTTTAAATAACGATCCCTAGAAGAGATCCGCGAGGAACATCCAATCTAAAACGAACTTATGTGGGACTCAAAAGAATGATCTCATACAAGAAACGTATTATTGTATTGTTTTTATTATTATTAATAATAATATCGTCATTATTATTGTTGTTCCTGTTGTTGTAAACAATAATGACAATTATAAACAATAATAATATGTCATTAGGCCAAACTATATTCAACCAAATTGAAGTAGAAATTTGTAATTAAAATCGGAAATGACAAAAAATCTAAAAAATCTCAAATAATCTAAGGCAATACTGCAGTGATTTCAGAGCACTGTGACATCAGTTTTTTACGTGGGTTTATGGAATAGGTGTTGCATTTGTTGCCACCTAGTGGCGAAATTGTGATAAATCTGACCAGCCTTATATGTATAGACCATACTTTCAAAACGTATTAAAAAATAAATAATTAATTGAAAGACCCTAATTTTCCATTTTTATTTTTCATCAAAGACAGGTTCTTAAGTCAAAATAAGGAGATACCATCTGACAGGACCTGTGCTGGATCCCACAAATCAGTGCAACTGTGAAGACGGCCAGACCAAGTCTATTCTACCTCAGAGGAATGAGGGACTTCTGGCTCCCCCTCGAGGTGCTCAGGAACTTTTACACCTGTACTATTGAGATCATCTTGTGTGGGTGCAGCACTATATGGACAGGAAGCTGGACTTTTGGCCCTTAAAGGACAGTCCATTCAGCCATGTGTACCATCAGAACCACCCTCCAAAACTTGCAGGACATTTACACAAAACCTTCCGGGACTATGGGTCCGGAGATCCTTAAACAGCCCATCCACCTCGAAAATTATCTCCTCTCTCCTCTGCCATCAGACCAGCATCTCAGCTGCCTGAGAATCAAGACAGAGAGGAAAAAAAGAAAAGGCCATCCGTCTGCTCAACCTCGGACATTAAAAGTAAAGTCCTATATCGCACTTCTCTAACACAAACATGTTTTACACTTAAAAGTCCTTTTCTTTTTCATTTTAATTAAGTCACAGAATGAGCAGACTTGAAGAAGAAGATAATTTCTTTTAAATTTTATTTATGAGTCAAAAAATGCCGATATATTCTGAAAACGAAAAATAACTTCTGCTAATGCATTTTAATTTGAATTATGGTACAGATTGTGTTCCATACTAGCCTGTCATTGGATGATGGCTGGTGCCGAAGAAAAAATGGAGGTTGAGGATTGCCGAGCAGAAGACTTAGAAAAAGGACATTCTTCATCCTATCTCAGCCACCTCTCAACTAGGGTTGTCGAAACTTCCACAACAAACCCACGAAAGCACGGGGGGGTGAGTAGAGTATCTGTTATTTGAATAAAACCTTTCTCAGTTAAGAAATATGTACCTTGATGATGTCATGATGTGATTATTTTCACATAGCTTAGCATCCTAAAGCTAACTTTTCCGTGAAGTAGGAGCACAGTAAGAAATAATACAAACGTACAATTTTAATGGCAGTTGGTCCCAGCTCCTGGTTGTTGTAGTCTAGACTGTGAGCTTAGGATGGACAGTGATACACCATCAAAATTGCAGCTGGATTGGTCATGCAGATCTTTGAGAATTTGCGCTAAATTTGACGTTAAAGTGATAAAAGGACATTGTGATGGTATTAAATATGAAAGGAGCCACCTCATGTTGTAGCCAGGTATTTAAACAGCACCCAACAGTCTAAGTTGTCACAGACTATTTGTATTTAAATTGTTGATTAAAAACAACTATTTGCAGAGTGGATGTATAACATCCTTTTTTTGCATCAATAATTTTAATAATAATAAATAATTATAAGTAACTAAGTTGCTTAAACTCAATGTAAATTTTAATTTAGTTTTTAAAAAAATGTTATCTTATGTTTGGTCAAAAACTATTTATTTTACAAAAACCTTTGTAAAATTTATTTTTAAAATTTCATCTTTTCCTGCAAGTTTCTCACAAAATTAGTGCATTTAAAAAAAGTTCCTGCAAAATGTGAACTGTTCATGTTTTTTTGTCTTTTTTTGTCACTTGGCAGCATGTTTCAGGACCTAATCTTGCATTTTAGTGCATATTGAACTACTTATAAAAGATACTTTTTGGACCCCAAGTCATGTTTTTGGGTGATTTTTTAAATAT